TCAAACTTCAATTGTCTATCAAAGGCACCACTGTTATTTTTGTTATGCTGCTAACAACTTAAACTGTGTTTAGCACCAAAAAAAGTTGTCAGATTAACTAAAACAATAGATTCTTTTGAACGCACTGATACTGCCGATCATTGGCCCAATCTGCTCAATTTGACGCCAATAACGACGTCGACATCAACAATGACGACAAATGTAATTGAGCAGCGTTGGCACTAAGTTAAAAGTACTTTTTATTTGATTTGTTTTAGCGATCAACTTTTTCACACACTGTCTTTCCTTTATATATCTTCAAAATTGCACCAAACAGAACATCTTAGTTTTTTTTTTATCGGCAAAATCTTTGGGTGTAAAGTACTAAGAAAAGCTATAGCAGCAGTAAAAACAACAGCATCGGCTTCAGCATCAGTATCAACTTCAGCAGCAATAACAACGGCACTATGTACCATCATCACCAAAAGCACCAAAAAAAAACAGCAAAGATCATTACTTATAAATCATCAATATTTTCCAAATAATAATTTTCTTCTTATACTTTTGGCCTTCTGTTACTGTTTCAAAGTCATGTAAAAGTATCAACAAATTTAGGAAAAAAAAGTTATTCTGCGCTTCCAATAACAACAGTAACACAGAAGTTGAAACCTAATCAAAGTTTTACCGGTTTTGCAGTATAAATTAGACCAAAAAAGAATGATAAACCCAAATATCTAAAATGATTTATTTATTTTTGTTGTTGTTGCTTACTTTTTTATTGCTTATTGAATGAGGGAAAATAATGACTTTTTTTTTTTTTGTTTTTGTTTTTTTTTTGAACTCTGCTACAAATACCAAAACATAGAAATACATACAACTCATAGAGACAATAAAAGACAGCAGCATTTTCCCTTATCTTAACCGTTAACTCTTGTCGTTCTACTTTTGGCCTACCAACTCATCTACTTTTTTTTTTCTATTCCAATCCACCGTTACTGTCAGTCTAAAAGCTGAAAAAGAAGAAGAAGAAGGTGTTGAAGAAGCAGCAGAAAAGAATAAAAATAAAAAGCAAAAGCTACGTAAGCAATAAATTTATTTCAACTTTTTTTTCTTTCCCGTTACCAATTCATTCTTCTGACAGTAATAAAAAATAAAAAAAAAAAAACAGTTTCTTTTTTTTTCTTTGGAAGAAATAACAGGAATAACA